CCAAAGGTCAATTCCCACATCAGAACAGCTGGAATCGCATGTAGATTTAAATAACATTCCCCTCATGCCTTCTAGAAAGCAAAAGAGTTTACAGGCATTTGGTGACAGTTCTACGTGTTTCAATAGAACAGGCAGAAAGGCATCACCCCTTTCTAGGCTTCAAGACGAGCCGTGTCAGGTAGGGGTGTGTCAGTGTGCTCACCTGTGTGTGAATACATGTGCCTTCACGGAGCATGACAAGTGGCGATCGTGGTCGAGAGCGTGTGCCATCACGGGAATGCCTGGCTTTAATGACGAGGCAGTGTTTTGACGGATAGCTTGGTTTCTTGAGGGAGCCAGTGAGAAAGTTACCTGAAACAACGTGTGTCTAGAGAAATGGAGGAAAAAAAAAAAAAAAACAGCAATTGGGGCTCCTGGGTGGCTCAGTCGGTTAAGGCCTTCGGCTGGGGTCAGGGTCCCGGGGTCCTGGGATCAAGCCCCGCGTCAGGCTCCCTGCTCAGCGGATAGAGAAATGGAGGAAAAAAAAAAAAACCCAGCAATTGGGGCTCCTGGGTGGCTCAGTCGGTTAAGGCCTTCGGCTGGGGTCAGGGTCCCGGGGTCCTGGGATCAAGCCCCGCGTCAGGCTCCCTGCTCAGCGGAGAGTCTGCTTCTCCCTCTCCGTCCCCTCTCCCGCCTGCTCGTGCTCTTGCTCTCTCTCAAATGAATAAATAAAAATCTTAAAAAAAAAAAAACCCAGTAATTACTTGAGAGGGTTAAAGAAGCCATTTCTTTTTATGGAATGCTGTCTGGAAGAACAGCGCATGCCTGGTATCTCAGACATGGCCAAAATTCTCCTCTTTGTGAAGGGTAGAACAGAACACAAAGAGGCCAAGTCTACACGATACAACCGAAGCGGAACTCAGATAAAAAACCGGAATCGGTGTTGACCGTCAGTTTAGCTCACTTGGGCCTTTTAAAACCTCAGTTACGCAAAGCAGCCAAGTATCCCCCCTCACGTGGTGCTGCTTAGACCCGTGTAGAATTTCGTGAAGGCTGTAATGATGGAGTCATCTGGAGGTGACGAGGGGCTTAGTCTCATGGTGCACCCCCACTCTCTGACCCCCACACAGGGGAAGCACAGAAGGACCCAGAGGTAACCTCCTGCGGCAGGAAATGGGAGCTTCATCCTGCTCCCCTGCCAACCTCCTGTTCCCCGTTTCCTCCCAGCAGATATCTCCATTCCAATCTCCCCTGCCACTCTGGCCCTCTCTTTGTCATGGTTCAGCTTTCTGAGAAAGCTACACTAACGAGGCCTAGACAGAGGGAGCCAGGCTCAGTGATTCACTGGACAGCACCAGAGAAGAACAAAACAAACGGGTGTTTTAAAACCAACCTGCAACAATACAACACCAGAAAGACGCGTTGAATTTTCCATAAGCAGACTTGTACACGTACACACACACACACACACACACACACACACACACACACAGACATGTGTTCTCTTGGTCTACTTCGCCAAAATATAGGCAAGATAATGACTTGGCTAAATCAATGAAATCATTCGAGCCTACCATGGCCCCGAATTTCTAGTTCTAAATGATTCGCCAGTGCCAGGCGTGATAAGGAAGGGTGAAGAAACGGAATGCATACTTGCAGCAATGCTCCGTTTCCCTTTGCATATGTTCATTATCGAGAATCAATTCCAGTTTGAGAGGAGGCTTTCATTCCTTGCAAATGAAGAGGAAGTGAGTAAGTAAATGTTCGGGGTTTTCCTCAAATTATGTCTCATAACGTAAGAAAACAGTGGCAAAAAGCCATCAGCAGATGGTGTTTTCATTAGCCAGAGATTTATTTTTCCAAGCATTTTCATATTAATGAAGTAAGGTTGAAATTAGAGTCATCTTGTCCATTCTAGTTCTGTGGTGTTAAAATGTGCTGGCTTTCTGCAAATTGCTAGGGGGCCGAAGCAAAATAAGCATTTGCCATAATTTTTGATGGTAACCCAAGGTCCATAGTCAAACCAGACCCCAAATTATGTGTTCAGCCCTAATTTTTGTTTTCAGTGGCTTTACAGAAGCTGCGAGTCTCAGTGCTGGGCCATAAATGAGGAACACACGGCAGGGGCACTTAGCCCTGCTCGACACTATGAATTATTTATAGGCTATTAGTTTAGAGACAAGTGTTGCAACAGGTTGCATGGACTCGTTAGAAAACATTTTCCCCATGGAATCCTGTATTTGAATGGAAACGCATTACAGTTTGAAACACAGGTTTCTAATACTGTATCCGCTCTGAGTTCATCAAGCTACATTATGTCTACCTCCTCAGTCCCTATAGTCAATGGTGAGACATGGGATTTCCATTGGTCTAGGAATCTGGACCTCTGTGCTAGTAGAAGTCATAACCGATGGGGCCCATTGCCTATACCCACTGTCTAACCTAAGCTGGACAATTTCATCGAACCATAGCTCTGTCTTAGTCACCCCCCAAGCCAAATTTTTGAAGAGGAGTCCAGACATGCCACCTCCACATCGTCACTACCGAGGGACCCCCTAACTCTGTACCTTTTGGCATTTGCTTCCAAACCCCACGGAAACGCCTTTTTCAGAGGTCACCAGTGACTTCTAATGACCAAATCCAACTGCTTTTTCTTAGTCCTCCTATTTCTTGCCCTCTCTGCATAGCGGACAGTGACAAGTCCTTTCTCGAAACGTGTTTCTCTCGATTACCCTCTCAGCTTGGCCCAGACCTGCAGTACCAATGGCCTTGAACATCACAGCTTCCTCTTAACCAGTGTCCCTGCCCCTAGGCTCTCCTGTTTCAGTCTGCCCCACATTATTGCTGGTAGGTTGAGCTCATAAATGCTGCCCAGATTATGTCATTTTCTTGCTCCAAAGCCTTTGGCAAGTCCCCACTGCTAAAAAATAAAAATAGGTACAAAATCCCCACTTAAGCATTCAAGACCTTCAAAACAGGCCTCCAGCTCTATTTCCAACCTTGCCCCCCACTACTCTCCTGTACCCTCTATTCTAGCCAAATTCAACTTCTCTTCCCTGAACACGTCCTTATACTTTATTCCCTTTCACTCACATTATTCGTTGTGTATGGAACACCCTGTCCTCCTTCATTTCTGTGTGTTAAAATTCACCTTGTCCTTCAAGACCCGCCTTCGTTTCCCCTCCTCTTTCTCTTGGAATTCACTGCGTCCTCACTGGAGCAGGTGCTCATTACCTTTTGTTGTATCTGATCTCTGAACTTCTGCCATTTTTTTGTCTCGTGACATCTACTTAGCTTAGAGATCGTGTCCAAATCAACAGTTGCTGCCCTTCTTTCTCCCTTCTTCACTCTCTTTGCCCTTGCTAAGGAGAAGGCCATGGATGGAGACGGTTGGGGAGTTAAAGAGGGCCAGGGGAGACCCTGTGCCCAAGCCAAGAACAGTGGAATAAATGGGAGAAAATGACTTCCACGGGAATAAAGCCAAAGAAACCGAGGGAGATCTGGCAAGAAGGGGAGCAAAGCTTAAGCTGGTTCTCATAATCTAGTTTGAGAACAAGTGACATCAGACTGCCCATCCTGGAAATACATGTATCCATGGGAATACATCCTCTGGGATGGACTCATGGGCCAGTGCCAAGAATACTAAGGAGCCACAGCTACTTAGTAGATAAGAAAGGGGCCAAGTACATGAGTCTTCTCCCCATTCCTCCACTTCCCTTTGCTCCCCGCCCCCTCCATTCCCTCCTATCAAAAACATGAACTTTGAACAATACAAACCGTAGGAGCCATGGAGACAGCAACGAAGTGATGTACACAACCAAGGGAAGGAATGTTAGCAGAATAAGGGCCAAGAAGTTGGGGTATTACATTGCAACAGACTTGGTGGGGGTGTGGGGATGGTGAGTGAGAGAGGAGTGGATTTTGAGACTGGTCCTAGAGGAGAAGCCACCAGAGCTGAGGACTTGGGAATGGGGAGGAATATAAAAGCCCATTATCAACCTAGAGTGAATAACATTCTGTTTTTTTCACATAAGGAATGGGAGGGAGGAGCTTGCGCAACTGAAAATACGCTAAGAGTTCTGAGTACTGTTGTACTCTTGTTATTTTAAACATTTGCAAAGTGCTTCTCATGTGTACCAGAAAGGATCTATGTACCAGTAAGCAATCATAAGCAATGGATGTCCTACCTTGATACGTCAGGTGTCACGTTTTGAAGTCTGTCGTCTGCATGGGCTATTCCTTGGGGCCAAAGAAGGGAAGCTGTGAGATACAGTGCTCGATTTTGATGAACCTCGCAGTTAAAATACTATCTTTTTTTCCCCTGAAGGAAACTACTGATAAATCTAAAATGTTTCCAAGGGGAAAAAAAAAAAAACAAGAACAAAAAATCATGAATACTGGGGCAAAGCTGTGACTGAGGCTAGAGAACTGGGTTCTAGGCCCAGCTTTGTCATCTACTAATTATAGGACTGCAAAGAACACTTTACCCCCATTCTGAAGCTCAGTTCTCATCTGTAAAATGCTGACATATCCTACCTCATGGATTGTTGTGGTTATTAAATGTTGTATATGAAATTGCCTATAGCATAGTGTCCGGCACGTACTATTTGTTCAATAAATTATGGTTCCCTTAGTCTACTCATCTGTAAAAGAGAGGATAATACCTCTTTTCCTTATGTCACTGGATTACTATGAAGGCAAAATGAAATACTATGAAATACTTTAAAAAGTTAAAAATATTGTAGAAAACATAAAGTCGCCTTAACATTAAATTCCTATATCCACGAAGTCATGATTGTCATCTTTTCCCCAATAACGAGAGCCTGGACCAAATGCACAGTGTTACTCATTAGCACCTAGAACAGTGCTTGGCCCACAGCAAGGGCTCAATGAATCTTTGAAATGTTTGCCAACTGACTGAATGATCTCCACATGATATTGGTTCTTAAGCTCATTGAACCTTTCTTATTTTTTCCCCTCTTCCCTGTTTCCCTCTGGCTTCATACTCTCGGGGATGGCAGCAAACTCTGGAGATGAACCTCACCAACCTGGTTAAGCGCAACAGTGAACTAGAAAATCAAATGGCCAAACTAATACAGATCTGCCAGCAAGTTGAGGTATGTAACGGAAACTTTTGCAATTCTTTCAGAGGACCCAGATCAGGCGATCCTTGGGGGGAACACTTGAGTCTTGTCAAGAGTGTAGCTCAGCCATTTGGAATGAAGGGCTGAATGATAGTTCTAGGCAGTCTCATTCCCTTAAGATGCTTGTTCCAAGAAAAGTGGCAAATGGCTATTGTTTAAACAGAAATAGGTGGGTGGCGGCCATGAACTGGGGAGACAGCAATCCAGGGGGTAATCCGTTCTTTCCAAGGGGTAGGCAATATGAGAATCCAACATGCAGCGTGTTTCTTCTTTCATCAAACTGGACATCTTAGCTCCCTAAAGAGATCCCTGGGGTGTCACAGGGGCAGCTGGGAATCCTGGGTCCTTGGAGTCGGGCGAGGTTCGTTCCGGGCAGTATTGTGTCTGTAAGAATGCTTATCAGGTTTGCTTCTCCTGTTCCTAGCCTCTCCTCCCTTTGTCCCCACGCACCTCCCTTGATCCTCACTCATCACCGTCCCACTTGCTCTTGTCATCAACAAATGCTCTCTATGTTCAAGTTGTCTGAATTGTAGAGTGTCATACAAGTCTCAAGTTTTTGAAACCTGTTACCTGCGTCAAGCTGACATCAAAGAGCAGAGCTTACAAGAGGAGTCAGTCTTTTCATAAGTGGATGTAATAAAAGAAAGATGTTACTTCTCTTTCTTTCTCAAGAGCACGGGACTTCAGCTGTAGCGTTTGGTTTCTGTGTTGGTTTTGTAAAAGAGGCAACGGTAGGACTTCAAGTCTAAAGCGGGTCGGGTAAAATGTTATAGCACTCTTCCTGGGCAGTGATTGGACAGAAATGTTTCTAATTCTATTTGTAATCCCATGGTCTAGTTGTAACCTTACTTGTGTGACAGATAAATGTAGTGGTTCAAGTTAAATCCCACCTAGGGATTTCTACTTAAGGGAGTGTGAGAATCTTCTAGTAAGAAAAAGAATCGTCTTATACTCCTAATTGTTTGGATGTCTTCAAGTCTTGCGTTTCTTAAAGTAGGGTGTACTTGGATGATGAGCATACCATAGCAATTTAATCCCTGCTGGGCACTCCGTTTGTGGAAGAGAGTGGTGCTGTATGGAGGGTGCAGAGAACACCAGTTAAACTCAGGGGCGAGATGTGGAAATGTAGCAGGGCATTTAGGGAGAAGCCCGAGGAATGGAAAGAAAGAACCCTGGAAGGTAAGTTACAAAATGGGGTTCTAGCCCTGGCACTGCCATTAACCGGTGATATGAATTTGACTAAGTCACTTAGCCTCTCCGCTTCAGGGTCCTTACCTGTAAAATAAGGGGTTGAACTGACTCCCTGACCTTCGATGTGTCTTCCAGATTTCACGGGTCATGATTCTGCAAATGGTTACTTTCTTTATTCTCTTCTTTGGTCTTTGATTTCGTCCTTTACTACGTGCGGGGAGAAACAAAGCAGAAGGCATTTTAGAGTGCTTTTCAGCTAGTCGAACTCTGTTCCACTCTATCAAAGCTTCTGATTATGCTGTTAGGTTACAGTATAAGAAACCCACACTAGTGTAGAGACAAGGAAGTATTGTACGCAGGAGACAAGATAAGGGATCCCTTGGCTTAGAATTCTCATGGTTGAGGGCGGGGTAACAGCTATAGTGAATAAAACGTGGTTAGAAATTATAATTATCACCTTCCTCATTCTCATCAAAAAGACTATTAAGTATAGTGTAAGTTGTAGTCAAATTAGCAAAGTAAGCAGTTTGTTTTCATTGCTTATTTGCCCTGAGACCTCTCCAACATCTCATCATCCCACCCCTGGGCAGTTTATCACTCTGACCAGCTTCACCCAAACAGAACCCGGTTCAAGCCCTTCCCAGCCCACCGCACCAATCAGACCTTTGTATTCAGGGCCCCACTCTTTTCAAGCAGCGAGGAGCTAGTCTCATAAAACAATGCATCATTGTGTTCAGAGAGGAGGACTCATTCTGGCCCTCTGGGTAACAGGCAATGTTTTAACAGTGCCTTTCTGAAGTCAGTATTCGGGCTTGAGCCTTGCAGGAGATGACACCAGCGCTGCCAAATATAAGCCAAGTGGGAGGGAAGAGCAGCCCCATGATGAACCAGCAAAGGGGGGTGCGGATTAAGAGGCTCCCTTAGAGATGCTCGTTAAATCCATTGCGTAGGCCGCTGTCTGCTCTGGCACACAAAAGGTCGCCTTTTGCTAATACTTACTTAGGCACGGCTTTGTACCAGGTACAAAGAAAACAGCATGGGCGGGCACAGTATCTGCCTTCGGAAGGCTTACACACTGCGCAAATCCACCCGGATACGGATATACACGTGCGGGCCATAGAGACAATGGAATAAAAATGTTAACCGACGGTTGGCAAAGAACCATGAGATCCGGCATTACATGTCAAGGGTGAGAGTGTATTTGGGGAGTTATCTCCATAGGCCCTCCAGTTTAGGATTCTTTTTTTTTTTTTTTTTTTTTTAAAGATTTCATTTATTTATTTGACAGAGACACAGCGAGAGAGGGAACGCAAGCAGGGGGAGTGGGAGAGGGAGAAGCAGGCTTCCCGCTGAGCAGGGGGCCCGATGCGGGGCTAGATCCCAGGAACCTGGGACCATGACCTGAGCCGAAGGCAGACATTTAGCGACTGAGCCCCCCAGGTGCCCCCAGTTTAGGATTCTATCTTTGACAGGAACCCTGCAAGATGGTTCATGGAAGAGTGTGGCTGTGCTCTATGACATCATCCCTTCTGAAAGGTTAGGGATGTGCTCTAAGCTTCCCCATAATAATAGGGTGAGTCCAGGGTACTTATTATGCTCATTCAGCGCAGAGCCTGTGTGTCCAGAAGGCTTTGGAACAAGCCCCGGGATTAGAAATGCAGTTAAAGAAGGGACTTGAGACTTCATAAATGCTTATAAATACTTTATACAATGAAATAAATAGTAGGAGACTGGCTGTTATGAGAACCGGACACTAAAGGGTGATGTGAATTTTTTTTTTTTTTCTTATTCTATCGAATCCAGCTTTGTCTATAAGGAATGACTCTATTCGCAGTGTGAACCAGGCCTTTCACGTTGGGCGGGGGTGGAGGATACCAGCGAAGGCACTTCTGAGAAAACTGGAATAGGGCTATTTTCCTGCCAGACCTGTTCCCCTTCCTTATTGTCTGCAAATGTTTTTGTCGCAGATTGACTTTTCATAAAGGGGCCGTAAATACTGCCTCTCTCCTGGTTCTTCCTTCTTGTTCTCTGTTCTCCCCAGAAAGTAAACAAAGCCGCAGTCTTCCTATTATTACAGAAACAGAGATTAAGATCACCACAGATTTGTTAGCTGAATTCCTTAGTAAGTCAGCCTGTTCCAGTTGCTGCCCAGCTTCCAGAATTCAGGGGATGGGCAGCTGGAAACTGTTTTTTTTTTTTTTTTGGTTGGGGCTGGAGAGCATGGGAAGGAGGCAGGAGCAGAAGGAAGAGTCCTTTAATCTGGTTAAGGGAGGGCCATGCTTTGACCCTCTGGACTCTGGCCACTTGATCTCTATATATAGTTCTTTGTCCTTTCTCATCAGGCATCCTTTGTTTACATTTCCAAAGGAAATCTCTGTTTAATGCATAGCCAAGGGAAAATGTATACCAACAGATGAATATTTCCTCTTGGCTTCCAAGACCGCGCCGTTTTGTGAATAACAAGCATTCCTGAAAATATTGAGGGGAAGAAAAATAGTTAAGTACTTGGGGATCGGTCAGTTGACAACAAAGCATTTCTTGAGCCAACACTGCGTACTCAGTGCAGTGGGCAATTTGGGAACTATAAAAGAAACATATGCTGTTGCTGGCCTCCTGGAACTTTTGAGTCTAGCTAGGGAAAATACAGTTTCTAGTAAGAAAGAGAAGCATTTAGGAAGCAGCACGCAGTGTAGGGAAGGTAACCTTTCCGTTTTTCCTTCTTCAGCGTCGTTGGTAAGTTTCAGGGAACTGAGCCCACGAAAGCACCTTCCTGGATATTTTGTGTGGCATCTGTTTTCAGCAGTCCAATGGATTAGTCCATCCCAGAAGTCCCATGGGCAGATTGATTTCTTTCTGGTCCTTCTCAAGCCTTTTAAGGAGCTGGGTGGCTTCCCTTAGTTCGGTCTTAGCCTCAGTTGCTTTCGGAAGTCTTACTGTAGGTGGCTCCGCGTTCTCTGCCCTTTCTGCCCGTATCACACGCTGACAGGGTATTTGGCTTGCGAAGGGCAAGCAGCAATGCCTAACTGCTTCTCCAAGCATAAAAATAGGTGTTTGAATGGGAATTAATTTTTAAAAACCACGCTTCTGTGGATGACTTCAGCAGATGCTCCTTAAACGATTTAGAGTGGTGGAGCTGGGAGCAAGAATCGAATCGAAAGCATTAAAACACAGATCTGTTGGTTGGAAGAGTCTTCTCCAAGCCCCGAGAACATGATGAAATGAAGGAGTGAGTGGAGTGAAGTCAATGTAATCAGGGAAAATCTCATAGAGAAAATGCATTTTAGCCAAATGTTTCGGGAGGAAAAATAAATGACTCCCTCCGCTGAGACAGCGAGTGGAGAGGTATTAGAGGAGGTGGAAAAGAGCCTGTCATGTGGGCAAAATGGTATGCTACGCCCTGGGTGGACACTGGGTAGACAGAGATAAATAGGAAGCAGTCCCTGCCCTCAACTCAAGGGAGCTTACCTGACAGGTAAAATGTCAAATACAGTGCGAAGTGGTAATTATTGTAATGAAGGTAAGTGCAAGATGACAGGCTAGCGTGGAGAAAGAAACACGTAAGTCTGCCCGAGGGACTTAGGAAAGATGGCAGAATGGAAATTAAAAAAAAAAAAATCGAGTTCTCTTGAAATAAGTGTTGAATTTTTTGCTAATGAGAATGAGGTAAGGTAGTGAAGCGGACCCCATGCAAGAACACAGAAGGGTAAAGAGCACAGAGATGTGCGGGGCACGTCTTGGTTCAGCCAGAATGTGAAAGGTGAGACTCATTCATTGCAAGAGGT